GCAGCAATTTCAGCCAATACTGCCTGCTCCTTTCCGGCAACCTCCTCCACCAAATGGCTGCTGTCAGCGCTACTGCCATTGGTTGACTAACAGGAAAGGAAGACCACCACATGATGCCTATTGCCGAGAAAGATGGAGTGGATCAAATGCGGGGTAGCAACAACAAAGATTAAGATACATAAATTTCATTTCTAAGGAAGCCATTTACTTACAGTTAGACAATCACTGGTTGGTTGTTTGGATTCCTCACAAATGCAGCATAAGCAGGTTGCAATCCTCCATGATAGTGTAGGTCTTCCATGCAACAAGTAACAAATCCATCAGTCATCATAGAGTAAGACTTGAAGGAAATATTGTTGTTGTATCTCCAGATAGAATAACCATTCCAAGCATCCATCAACATCTGTCCTTCAATGGAGCCCAACTCATAGCTCTCAGTGATCCTGTCCTTCACTAACCAATAGATGCACTCATTGAAAATGTTCTCCCTCTCACAAGGATGTGGTCCTTCCAGCATTTCATAAAGCAGGCGGACAACAGCTCTGTACCATGGTGGACTCATCTTTCTGCCATAATCAACCATGTGATCGATGATGCCTGTCATGTCAGGAGGAAGAGGCTTGCATGCTCCTTGGGAGATAAGATCCTCAAGAATGGGAATTTCAAAGGTATCAGAGCGAACACAGCTCAGGTCCTTGTTGTGGTCTTCCACAATCACATACTTGCAGGTGAACCCATGCCTTGTTGCCCTCAGCTCATTCAATGGGTATCTGTTGACACTCAACAGCCACTTGGAGAAGCCTGGACTAGTACTGATCCTCATGGTCGAGATTTTCGTGGAGCGATCTCCTCTCTCTCTCGGAATTCCTCTTGCCAGGTGTCTTGCCCCTACCGAAGTAGTCGCTGACTTCAAGACAAGAAGACTAGCCAAGCAATCAATGGAGTAGTGCTCGTTGGAGCGTTGATGGATCGAACTTCTGTTTGGTGGAACGTCGAAATCCAATCTTCGAGCCATTGGGAGGGAGCGATTTGAGATAACGGAGCAACATAAAAGGACGACGTTCGATCGGTGGACGGAGGATAGAACAACGACGAGTACAAGGTCGGTGGATAGGATAATGATTAGTAACAGTAGTAGTAGCTAGTACCAGCAACAACATCATTGTGGACCATTATCTTGCTTACCGGAGCACAACAACAACACCAACAACAACAACAAAAATGCTCCGACGACCGTCGAGTTTGGTGAAAAATGGGAAGGTTTTCTTCGAGCGAAGGATGGGAAAAGAGCCAGTCAGGTATCCGTTGCATCAATTTGAATTTTGAGAGCAAGTGCGATGCCAACGCATCAACGTACCTCCATTTGACCGACTTCATGACGTAATATGTGTTCTTCCGACGTCTTACCTAGAGGGGGATGACCGGTCATTGACCGATCCCCTCCTTTCTCTAAGTATTTGATCGTGTCAGTTGGGTTCCGGTTGGATCTGCATGCTCGCGATTCGGAATCAGGAATCCAACTGATAACCCTCTCCCTTTCTTTTTTCTTTTCCCTCCCCCGCGCTGCTGCTTAACCCCCCCATAAAGTTCGTCGAAGAACCCATGAGGGTTCAGGTTTCCACGCCAGGCAGCGTGGACAGATAGGGATCAGGATCGTTGTCCTCTTTTGCGTGCGGCTGCTCGACAAGGTGAAGCTAGCCAACAAACCCCGGCCGACCAGGTGCCTCCGCGAAGTCCTAAAGAGTGTCTCTGATTCGGCCCTCAAGAGCGAGACCTGGGATATCACTCTAGCTAGCTACAGGCGCAACATCGCGTGTCAGTGCAAGAAGAAGGCCGCCTCTTCTTCATAAATTGCTGTGATCCCGCTGGCAACTTGGTGCTATTTTCTACGATCCCCCGCAAAGGAGTGGGCTGCTTGTTGATGAAATCTATAGAATTGGTTTATCTAGCTTTAAATAGTCGGCCTTCGATTCGAATCCTCATTCCCCCCTGTCGTTTCCTGTAGCTAGCTATCTATGCATGCACATGCGGAGGCTCGCATACCGACGCTTGTCCTGGAAAGCACCGTCGTGCGAAGAGATTGCCTGCAATGGTGGTGATGCCTGTCCCTCGTTTGAGACGAAAGAGCTGATAGGGTCGTAATCGTTCATGAGGATCTTGTACCTCCCGAAACTTTTGATCCAGTCCACAAAGGAACCATTTGCGATGTCCACATCCCGGAAAATCACTCAGTCCCGGTCGTATATCCTGCCCTTGATAATGATCGCAACAGACATCGTGCTGTTGTTCGTAGTGGTCCAATTCCATGACTTGGAAGCCTTCGTTTTCATGCAAATATCGATCCCCGTATTGGAACCCTTCTCCGACATCCGATTCATGTGGGATGGGTTGTAACCGCATGGGAGCAATAATGCCACCTCGGAGATCCATTTCTTCCTTGATTTGTGGCAAGGAAGTGGCACGAGTGGTCAAGATGGAATCGGGTTCAGTCTGGATGCAAAGAAGAGAAAGTCTGGTGAGTTTCATTTTCCGTGGCCAGATCTTTTTGCAACCGCCGCTACTTTTGGTACTCACCAAATAGAGATATTTCCAATGTGATGGATCTCTTGTTGTGCCAAACCAGTCGTTCAAGTGCTGTGTATCCTCTTCTGTTTTGGTGGTTGCATCTGCTGCCAAAAAAGCCTTGCGAGCACCTACCAAACAAGCTCGTGGCATGTTGCGTTCCATGATTTTGGTCTTGGCAGATGCCTTGTCAAATGACACATAGGCCACTTCCAAATGTCCCACACTATTGGGAGAGGAGTGTGGAATGTGCAAGTGTTGTTGCATATAGTGCAGAGCATCCATGGTGTAATTGTAATGTTTGGATTCTGATCCAACCACCACAACACGGCCCATTTCCGCACGGCGCAAGGATTCAATGGTTGCTGCCAGAGACACTATGGTCAAATTGTAGGCACGGGCGTGCTGTTCGTCCTGCTTTCGTTTGGGATTCCCAGGTGCCTTGTAGGGTTGAAAGGCAATTGTGGCAATGGTTTCCGAGAAGATTGGTGGATCCGAGGTGGTGGGATAGTCGGTGGCGCCATTTTCAATATACTGGGCCAATTTTCCAATGACCGAATCCCAGACAGGAGCTTCCTTGTAATCGTAATCCAGTACCTTCCACCATTTAGACAAGTGTTCAACAGACCAATCGAAATAATCCAATGGCATGCGCAATTTGTGGCGGCGGGTATTCCATGCCTTGAAGGCGGCATCTTCACACATTTTGACAGGATCCAAATTCATGTCGAGGAAGTCTTTCTTGGCCATGATCCAACTAGCACTGAAGGAGTCCTTTTGGGTGACTTGGGTTTGATTCAAAAAGTAGACTGTATGGGCATGAGGGTGATCGCTGGAGGAGACTTCGGATTCTTCCAAATGTCGCACAACAGCGGCCTTTAGTTTTTGATCTTCTGGCGACAGTTTGGGCGGCTGGATTTGTTTGGGACCTGTCGTGACAAGGTCGCGGTGTTGGTCTTGTTCTTCCTGTCGTTGTTGTTGCGTTATTATCATATCAGTAGATTGAGCTGTGGCTGGTGGAGTAGTAGATTGTGCATTTTTCAGGACGACCTCTTGTCTCTCTTGTTTCTTTTTTGTCTGTTTCTTTTTCTTCTTCTTCTTTGGCTTTAATTCAGGCGCCACCTCGGCTGCTGTGTCATGCTCTTCCATCACTTCTCTCTCTTGCTGAACTTCTCTCTGCTTCTCCAGCTGTTCTTGTTGTAGCGTTTGCAAATGCTGCATGTGATGTTCTTGTGGAGGGGTCACCACATTCATGGTCTCAATCGAAACCACCATCAAGCTTTGCGAGACTTCGTAGGAGTGGTGCAGACGATCGTACACAATAAAGGTTGTCAAACCACACAATAGACCAGTCATGATCAACCACACGTAGCGAAGACCATTGGTAGGGTTGCCGCCGTCTTTTCTCGAAAAGCGTGTCATCTTCCTTCTCGATTGATTGGATGCCTTCTTCTTCTTCTTGCTTTTGTTGCTAGTAGGAAGGAAGCTCCTCAAGGCTCTTGTGTTGTGGACCTCTCGCCAGTTTCACTTCTAATAAGATGGCAATAGAAACAAAATCGAAGCGGCCTTTCTCTTGCAACTCGAGCTCTCTTTCTTCCAATGCAGCCACCTACTAGTCTAACCACCGGCATCGGAAATGGCGGCAGAGACGGAGACACTCGCATCACACGCGGACTGCAACGCGGTCAAAAGCTGAGCGAAATTGGCCCGGAAAAAAGGTTAGTTAGGAGGATGTTCGCCAGCCAATCACGGTTCTCATTTTGCGACAGAAACCCGTGACTGTAGCGCTGTCGTGCGCGTACTGTAACATGTGAGGACTTCTCATGAAGTAAGTCAACTCGACACACCGAACACCGAACCTCTTCCGTGGCCGTCATCTTCCCTTGCTTTGGTCTTTCAATCTTTGATCTCGTGAAGATTCATGGTGCTGTGGTTCTGTGATCAGCTAGATACCGGTGGCTGGCTAGGTAAGTTTCATCGCGATTTTCGTGCAGGAAAGTCCCACATCTGCATGCAGCTTTGAACGAAAAGAAGCCACAGAAAAAATTGAAGATGATTGCCTCCAGTTTCAACTTTTCCGTACATCTACCAGATCCGATATGTGTCATAATGAAACCAACAATCGATTTGGGCGTATTACATTACTACATGCAAAAGACGGCCCATTTTATCATGGGAAGATCAAGAAGAGGCTCGACAAACCTGGTTCACCTCCTTTATTAATGTATAGAGTGGGAGGATTATCTATGGGAGTAAACATCAGGGCATCCATTTGCAAGGGCCCAATCGACAACATGGTAATGATGAAAGCTCTAGCTCGGTTGATCATGCTTGCATTCTATGGACAGCCATGTTCACATGCCCACCTCAGTAGTTCCAAATGGCCACCTCCAGCAGCATCTGCACAAGTGCTTGCATTCCATGGGCAACCACTTGCACGTGCCCATTTCAAAACTTTCAAATGTCCACGATAAGCAGCCCTTGCATAAGTCTCCGCATTCCATGGACATCCACATTCACGGGCCCATTTCAACAACTCCAAATGACCACCTCCGGCAGCCTGTGCGCAAGTATGCTCATTCCAGGGGCAGCCATTGTCACGGGCCCATTTCAACACCTTCATTCAAATGGCCATATATGGCTGCATATGAACAAGTTTGCTCATTCCACCAAGAGCAGCATATGAACAAGTGTATGCATTCCATGAGCAGCCATTTGCATAGGCCCATTTCAACATCTCAAAATGACCATGTCGGGCAGCACATGGACAAGAATCCATTCCAGGGGTAACCATTTTGACGTGCCCATTTCAACAACTCTAAATGCCCACCTCTGGCAGCATTTGCACAAGTGTATTCATCCCGATGGCAACCATCTTCATGTGCCCATTTCAATACATGGAGATGTCCGCCTTCAGTGGCATTCATACAAGTACCCACACGCCGGGGGCAACCATTTTTGCGCAACCATTTCAATACATCAAGATGCCCACCCTTGGCTGCCGCAGCACACGTCTCTTCATCCCATGGAAATCCTTTATCGTGAGCCCACTGAAGAAGAGCAATGTTTCCGAGCATGGCAATGGCTTCATACACCTTACGACGAGTAGGCATCTTATTGGTGGAATTGTCGCCAAGCCATAATCCTGCTGTGGACTCATTGTAGAAAGTTGCACTGTAGGTTGTGACTGTGCTAGTTGCTTGACATTTTTTACCATTCTGATGGCTCTGTATCATTGGTGGATCCCTACAGAATCACAGTATGCTTTGTAGCGTTCATTCATCTTCTTTTTGACAGCCCCAACAAGGGCTTACTGACCCATGCCAAGAAAAGGAAGGATGCCATTGATCCAAACATCCTTGTGATCCAACAGAGCTGGAGCAGCATTTTCCAGCTTCTTCTTTTTGGATTTGGGCTGACTAGCTAGACATGATGATGCAATATACCGCTACCTGTGGGGAAGTCCACTCGTTGCTGCTGTTGTCCCCTTCTTCGTGGACGGCTTGCCTCTTTGGATTGATCGATTCTTCCCATTCGCGGCTTGTTCGAACATGGTACTACAGCTATTATTGACGTACGTGTCACTGATTTGGACTGTGCCTCTTACCGAAACAAAGATCCCGTCAAAGTTTTAACCCAACAAGAACGCGAAAAAATTTCCAAATATAAAGGAGCGTGCAACTCCAATCGCGCTTCCTTCCATCCCTTTGTTGTTTCAGTGGATGGCATGCTTGCCCCCCAGGCCAAGACTCTCTTACAACGCCTTGCTTCTGCTACTGCCTCCAAAACTCAATTTTCCTACTCTCAAATGATGTTCTTCATGCAGACCTGTATCTCCATTGCCCTTGTGAAAGCTACCCATTTATGTCTCGGTGGATCCCGCAAAGCCAAACCCTTTGCCCCCCGTAATGGTCCTCACTTTCTTGCCCCTGATCCCACAGAACCTAGTCCTGAATTTCGACTATTCTTTGCTTAAGCCTGGCCCCGGCTGGCTTCCGTAGCTAATTTCCCTACTCTAAAACCCCGGTTACTTATTCTTCCACTTTTGGCC